CCACTAACACATGACCCTACGCTGTGTTCACTGCATCATTCCATGTTTGGCACTGATCACCACCTGCACTCATGTATATATCATGTATATATTATGTATATATCTATCTACTTAGCACTTTGAATTTTTATTCTTACTTTTATTTTTTTCATGTCTATTTAAGCGCAATTTATAACAGTATGTTTGCACTGAAGCACCGCAGCAATTTCCTAATGTTGTAAACCCGCTCAACATTTGGCAATAAAACCCTTTGATTCTGATTCTAAACGTTTGATCAAAACTATGATACTAGTTTACTACCACATGGGGGCGCTCTCCGCACCAAACCGGACTGTTTGATAAATTAATAAACGTGAAAATACAAACCAAGACATTCTGACGACTGCAAAGCAGCAGAAATGCTCATGTAAATTAATAAATAATGATTATGTGTTATAATGTAAACATATCTCAAATTAATTTAACTTTTGTTTTCGTCTTCATTATTTACAGGAAAGTATTTGAAAGCCTCCGATTCTGATTCTGAACAAACCTTAGAGAAGTAATAAAAGGTAATAATTCTGCTTTCTTGGATTAAAGATGCACATATTATTCCAGAGATAAACAGTTTGCATTCAAATTAAAGCTCAGTCCTGAGAATTCATGGCGTCAAAGGTAAATCTCATTCAGGATTGTGAAGTTTTCCTCTTTCACTTTATAGGCGGGAAGGGAAGAAATGTGCTCTTACACCCCTAACCGTAATCTTCCACATAATGCTTTTCAGTCATAGGTTAGATTTCCCTGCAGGACATTTCTGTTTCTGGTAAAGGTCTGCTAAAGTCTGGAAATTTAGTGGCACAAAAATCTGTTATTGCTGTTTTCAGTGAGTCGCGACAAATTATGGAGCTGGGATGGCTTTTTTTTTTTTATATATTGGAGACACTGAAAAACATCCACCAACTTTCACTGTTGCAGGATTGTTTTAGATACTGATCTAATCTCAGGTTCTGAAAATGTATTGTTTTTTTTATTGTTCGATCTTTGTCGGAGTATTTGTGTGTTTTATTTCTTTGCGTTTTCGTGTTTTTAAAAAAATAACAGTAAAAATGACGGGGCGTGTTCTGACGTCATTACGCTTGAAAAACGAGCCTTCCATATTTGGTGTCGCCTTCCTGGGACACCTCCACGCTTCATGATGCTGTGCATGTCGCGCATGCTACGGCGGGGCTCGGCCTTCGCCGCGCGGCTTGCACGGCGGGATCGGGCACTCAGTTTGGCGGGTCTTTCGTGCCGGCACTACAGCACCGAGACGGCTCCTCACATCCCGGGAATGGAGTACCAGGTATGCTGCTTGACCGCCGCCGTTCGTGCTCCAGCCGGCTAACGAGCTAGCTAACTGAGCAGCGAGACTGTTTCCGAAAGTTTGGAGGTAGTTTTCGGGCTGACAGGCTGCCCGGACTCGGCTGTTACACGCTAGCTTGGACAGCTATTAACAGCTCGCAGTAGTGTGTCAGTGGCTAAAAGTCTGCGCTGGCACGTGCTGTGGTATTTCTGTGTAGCCATGTTATTTCTGTTAGGTTGACTCGTGCCATGGTCACCTCACTTTTTCCTGGATGAACTCAGGTGTTTTTGATGTTTCCTGTAATATTAATGGGAATTTTCCGCAGTTTCAGAACTGGGTCTGTCAGAGCCGTCCGCAGTCTACTTTATGCAAAATTGAGGAGACAAGACCCCTTTTATCTCCGCGTGCTGCTGCTTTCACGAGCATTTGGCACATACAATTTTACACATGGCGTCCATCATGGGTTTCCTGCGGCCAGATATTAAAGAGACTCAATGAATGAGTTCATTGTCACTGCAACAAAATCATCTTTAAGGATTTTCTGAGTCTGTTTCTACTGTAGACTGTATGTGAAAGATGGATGTAGTTGTCCATTGACCTCTTGGTGTTGTTATGAAACTCTGCAGGCTCAGGGTGGATCAGACTGCCTGCTCTTTGGTTTATGATCGACGAGGCGCATATCCTGTTTTAGGCTCCACTGTGACTGTAATAATGAGCATAATTCATAAAATAAACACGTTTTCTTCTGTAAGACTTTAAACTCCTGATTGGCCCAGTAAACTGATCAGGAGTGTGTTCACTGCCGTCACAAATCAATTAATGCTGGTTTATACACAACCAGAGGAGTCGGCACCTGGTGGTGATCAAACAAGGTTTAAGGCACTTCTGTATTGGTCTCACTTTCTAGATTGATTTTAGACATGATCTGTCATAATTCTACAGAAATAATTGCTTAAAAATCGATTTTTATTAAGCAAATAAACTTAAATATACTTTTTGTAGTTGCCCTCTGGAGGTTTAAATAATTTGGACAGTTTAGATGTTTCCAGATGTGTGCTGCTATAAATTAAAACCCTCTATAAATTTTTTACAAAAGAAATGAACAGAATATGAAGAAATGGCTGCTATGACTTCATATCTTTTTTTTCTGCCTAAATGAGTGGACCAAACCACTCTGATTCATACAAGGGTGGAGTTCATTTTAAGTAATTAAAAGTGTTTTGTTTTCAATCTGTCACCTTTGACCCAGAAGCCTGTAACCACTGAGATTACACCCATGCCTGCAGCTAAACAAAAGATTTCTCTTTACATTTCTGATCCACTGCTGGGCTCGGCTCCCTGGGATTCACACCTATTTTTTTGTTTTGTTTTGTTTTTTCAGAAAACAACAACAACAACACACCTGAGTTATAGGAGACACCACCTGGTGGTGGTATGGAAGGGTGTCTGGTAGCTGTTTTTTTTGAAAGGCTCGAATGCTGTTAACTGTCTCCTGTGGCAGTTTTGAAACATTCACACGTTCTTCTTCATCTGTCTTTACCTCTTGTTGCTTTAAGCTGTCAGAACTCCTCCACACCTACTTGCTTTGGACTCTGGCCAGGAGAACAGTTCATTTGCATGCAGAAGTGAAAAAGAAATGTGGCGTCTGTGAGACAGGGAAATGACACAGAGTGAAAGCTTTTCGAAGAAAGCAGTGGTTGGAGTTAAACGTGTTTGTGGTGGTTTGGAAAATACGGCACACTTAAAATCAATCCTTTGATTTTTCTCAAACTCAACAGGTCCCCTTATAATCCCGTGTGCCATATGTATGAATTCTGGTTGTGTGTACTGACCTCGAAACGATTTTATGTACACGGCGCTCGAAAATCTGTCAAATGTTTTAGTACGACTTTGCTAAGCTACAAACTCGCACCGCTGGATGGATTGTCGGAGCATTACGGCTATCGTAGGCAGGAGCCTCGCGGAGTGATACGTACCGTGCTTCAACATAATATTACCGTATTGTGTGTGTATAACCTCTTTTTAAGTTTTGTGGATATTATACATGGTTATGCTGAGGATATGTCGGCCGATTTCCACTGGAAATGTCTTTTGGTTAAACTGTCAGCAAGGAATTTGCATTTACACTGTTAATTTTTTTTTTTTAATATGACTTTAATGCACTTTAAAAAAAGCTGCTTGTGTAAGTGAAAATACATTGATGGTTGTTTTTTTTTTGGTTTTTTTTGCTTTTGCACTAATAAAGTTGTGGAGTTGTAAAGTATTTTGTCTAGTGTCAGTTATATCGTCAGTTATATCGTTATCGCAAATGTCGTGATAAATATTTTTGGTCATATCGCCCTGCTCTGAGCATACCTGCTACAACAGGTGATCAAACGTTATCAAACTGGAGCCAGTGATCTAACCATGGATGTAGACAGGACAGCATAAGAGCAATCGTGAGCTGTAAGACTTCATTCTGCTTAATTTCCAGCATTTCTGCTATTTCTGTGTCTGATTTATATTTATTGGTTTTAAAGTGGAAGGCGTGAGATGTCAGATGCTGTGAATCACTGTCTTTTAAAAGTACTGGCTTTTATCTTTATTTTTTTTAATCGAGTGTTTGAACTCTCATACAGAGGAATTGGGTAAATGGGATTGCGAATACATGCTGAAGTTTCGCCGTGTTTATATGACGTCTCAGTTGTAAATTGAGAAATCTGTGGTTTTTATTTGCATATTTCAATAACAGTTCATCCGATCTGCTTTAAACTTGGCTGTTTAGTTTTCAGGGTCTCGGCAAACTCGGCGCTGAGATTGAAGTCATTGAGCTCTCATAATCTAAGGAGCTTGGAAAGAAAGTTCTGATGGCTTTATTTTTTTATCATTAGGGTGGCTGCTGCCTGCTCCACTCTGTGTGTAGGGGGAGGGACTCACCTGTGAGGACTCACAGATGATCTGATATCCTCGTGTTGGTGTTGTTCCCAGACCATCATGAAAATGTTGTTCCAGGTTCACCATTGCAAGTGACCAATCACATTGTTGTGACGTTATTCTTTTGCGCGCCAAGCCATTCGTGCATTTATGAAATTCCAATGTTGCAAGGACAACATCAATTCTGCTTACTGTTTATTAAAGGGTTACGGTTAGGGTCAGGGTCCGTTGATCGGCGGACAGAGGCGGTTTCACGCAGCTTAGGTTCAGTTTTTTGTTTTACGCCGGTTTTTCCCGAAGTCGCAAAAGTATGACGTCACAACATTCTGATTGGTCACTTGCAATGTTGATCCTGGAACAACATTTAGTGTGATGATCTGGGAACAACACCAACACGAGGATATCAGATCAACTGAGGACTCACACTGACATTAATCCATTCCTGAAATTTTAACTCCCAAAGTTTAACTGATAAGATTTGGATACTGAAGCTGTCATTAATTCTGCTTACAGGTCTGACTATTTCATAGATTCCTGCATTGATTCCTGATCAAAGCAAACATTTATTTCTAAAGGCAAAGCGATTTGAAATGATGTCAGAACACTCTCCAGCTCTGATTAAAGGAATGAATGAGTTGTTAGACATGTGAATCTGATGGAGTGGACAGTTTGAAGCTGACTCTTCATTCCCATCCCATCTTCCAAATCCAGTCAGATCACAGCTCAGAAAATATCGTCACGTTGAATATTTGCTTTTGTAACAAATTATTTATGAACAGAATCCTTGTCATTGCTCCTGTGAGTCTCATGGGCTTTTTTTTGTTTTTTTTTTGTTTTTTTTTTAAACAAAAACTCAGTGAGTAATCAGACTGAGCTTTCCAGATTTTCATGAGCCTGTCAGTTGTTTAGCAAGATTAAATTGATTTCAAAGAACTTGAGAACCGGAATAACTGCTGGCTGCTTGAATAATCACTTACGGTATAAAAGAAATCTTATATTGACCTGCTGCAGCTTCTTCTGGTGCAAACAGTTGTTACATGAACGTACCTGAAAGTACAGCCGGACCCTGGTTCAACTTGAGTTGATATCACTTCAACACAAAACGTAAATACTTTGCACATAAACTGAATGAGAAGAAACAGCAGCTCTGACTTTAACTTCAGTTCATTTTGAATATATGAGACTGAGACTGCTGAAACCTGTAAGATGGATCTGGCATGAGAAGAGGCTTAACATGTTGCCCAGATGAAGACGGGTGGCTGATGTAATATAGAATAAATAATACTGTGGCCATGTTTTGATTCTTCTAATTTCCATGTTCACGAGTCCACTTGGGCCAGAGTGATGCAAATTTCATCATCAGACATCAACCATGTGGACTTATTTGTGAAGAAGTCGCTTTACACTGCGCCAGCTACTGCCAGTGTCCACGGTGAAGCATGAGCTAAGCATTAGACCCCGCCCACACCCCCACATGCCGCAGGTATCTCTGTTACAGAGTGACAGAAGAGCTGCTGTTGTGCTGCTCATCAGTGGTTGGTTGGTCTCAGCCGGTTTGCCTCACAGGTGTTGTTGGGCTGGTGGTTACACCTCTGACTCTCACTGACCGTCTCGGCATGAAAGATTTCTTAGCTCTGCTCGTGTGAAAGTGTCATTTTTACCTTCTGACATGTGCAGAGGAAACAAAGCATCTGTCACTCTCTAAGTCAGACTGATCCTCATCCTTTCATTCAGAAACTCTTTCCTGCAGATTATTGATTCCATCCTCAAACATTTTTCTTTCACCTCAGGATGCCATTTGCACTCTGAACACGCTGCAGACAAATGCCAGCGCCTTGGAGCAGGTACGACGAGAGCGCAGCAACCCTCAGCTGCAGCTGAACGCCATGAGAGGCTTCCTGGAGCGAGCCGGCCTCACGGTGAGCCAATCAGGGCGGAGAAAACATTTAGAATTACAAACAGTGTCATAGTAGATATGGCCTTCAGTGTTATCTGACGTGTGTGTCTGTGTGTGTCAAAGGTGGACAAACTCGACCATCTCAATATCATTCACGTGACTGGAACAAAGGGCAAGGTGAGCTGATGTGTGTTACATAACTGTATGAAGATGAGTATTTCTTTAGCGCTGTTTTATTGTTCTTGTATATCAGTCTCACTCAATACTCAATCATATCTTGAAATCAGATTTAGGTCTGAGATAAAGAGGCAGCCTTGTACAAACACACCCTGTAATTAGACTTATCTTAAAAATAGCTCTATAAAATATGTATAACAGTGGGGGGGGGGGGAAGAACCCTCAAGGGGAAAAGACAAATTTAAATGGATGAAGTAAGATCCAGGAGCTCAATAATGTAAAATGCTATTGAAAAAAAATATATAGAATTTATGCAAAAAATCATGTAGCTATTTATCAGTTATGGAAAAAATGGAACAACTTACAATGTTAAACATTAAAAATAAATGCAATAAAATATATGTAAATACAATATAAAGTCATGTAAATGGGGGGAAAAAAGAATGCAATAAAAAAATAATTTAATATGATTAAGTTGCAAAAATTATTTAAGAATTATTTTTCCCCTGTAAAACATAATGGGTTCAGTCAGACAAAAGGATGTCGCAAAAAGTATACAAGTTATAATTTATGTATGCAATTTTTATTTATTTTTTTTAAATTTTGAATTTGTTCTTTTTTTTTTTTTTAATGGTTTAAACAGGTTTAATTTAATTAGTAAAAAACTGTAAGTAAAAAGTTTGATTTTTAGCAGGAAAACATAGTAAAAGTGAGTTTGTAACAGTTTAATATTTCCTGACTCAGAGAAGGTGAGGGACACAATTTCATACATTTCCTGGATTGCTTTCTCCGTTAAATTTGCTCAGTCATTCAGATGTTTCTGTTGTTTTTGGTACATTTCATGACTCTAAAACTCTGAATTCATGAGCATAAGCAGGCCTCATCTGTCTGCACACACCAACAGGATGTGATGCCAAAGGTTTACTGACAGTGCGAGTCCCATCCAGCGCTGCAGATCTTTGTCGGGCTTGTAGTGATGTGTGGGACTCTGTTTAACCTCGCTGTTGTCTGTCCCGTCAGTGCCGAGCTCTCGTTATGCAACTTGAGAGCAGAAGGTCAAACAAACATGTTGGCAAATGTGTATTCATTAACCAGCTCGGTCGAGGGTGCTTTCAGACTTCACTTTTTATTTTTTTATTTTTAGAGGAAATTTACAACAAAGTGCTGTTCTGTCCCGATGGAAAAACCCAGCGATGACTGTTTTGTCTTTCAGGGCTCGACATGTGCGTTCACTGAGCAGATTTTAAGAAATTATGGCTTCCGCACAGGATTTTACAGGTAAACTCAAATCTAACTTATTTTTTGACTTAAAGCATCCACCATGGAAGATTAAAGATGTGTTGCAGCTTTTTGGGATGTACACACAAGATTTAATAAGAAATAAAATCCATAATTAGCCATGAAGGATCACTGCCCTTTCCCTCCCGAACTGCAGAGCTGGTCCAGATCGTAAAGTGTGAACAACATCCATATGTTGCGGGGTTTGTTTGTTTTTTGTTTTTTGGCGAGACATACACGCCTCTCCAAAAAACAAAAAGAGAAAATGGAAAGGAAAATGAAGTTAGTGACCATTTGTGAGCTCTTCTGAAGCTCTTCAAAATGTGATCATATTGATGATGCGGGGGGGTGCAGGTGTGTAATGTTGGTTCGACTGGTTGTGTTGAAGTGTTTGTGTCTGAAGCTGCGCGTTTGTGTGCAGCTCTCCACATCTGGTGCAGGTCAGGGAGAGGATTCGGATCAACGGACAGCCAATCGGGAAAGACCTCTTCACTAAATATTTCTGGCAGGTTTACGGACGACTCGATGAAACAAAGGTGGGTCTGAAAACGGGAGCGCAGACAGTCACTGACCATAGAGTGAGAGTGTGTGTGTGTGTGTGTGTATATAATCTGTGTCACAGGTTGTAATTGAGTTGGTTTTAAAATGAGGCTCCTCGCGTCAGGATGAGCGTGAGCCTCATGTGACGGGCAGCACGTGTTGGTCACGCAGCTGCAGGTTTCCCACAGAATCAGAAAAGCAGTTTTATGTATTTCATTTAATTTTGTCCTTTTAAAAACTCTTAGTTCTTATTTCAGATAAGTGTTTTTCTCCATCTGCTGGTCCCTGCCAAGGTTATTAATGATGATGATGATGATGATGATGATGATGATGATGATGATTATTATTCATTCTGATTATTATAGGTTGTGTTCTGTGTAGAGCTTGGCGATATGAGATTTTTTCATATCACGATATGTTTTTTTCATTTCAGGCGATAACGATATCTATCACGATATAAGCCAAATAACTATATTTGTAAGATTTAAAT